AACAAGGGCAGCTGCAAGGCGGCGCTGGGCCGCGACTGTGTGGTCGATGCGTTTGTCAACAGCGGCGCGTTCGTCGGGCATAGCGAGAGCGCCGTGCCGCCCATGATGAAGGGTATTGCAACCGCGTACAAGCCGGGTCCGGCCAAGCGTCTTGCGTTCTCGGCCAAGAACTGGGGTGTCGGCGATTTGTAAAGAGGACTTTTGACGTTGACATTTCGGTAGTATGTAAATACATATATATACCGGTATTGTTTCATGTAGGCGCACTTGTATGAGTGCATCGAATCGATGATTGAACACAACTTGGATTGTTCAGCGACGATGGAGCCGAGACGGTTTTTGGAGAGCGATGATGCAAAAACACTCTCATTTTAGATTTTGGCGCCCGTTAAGCAACCCGCCACTTCTCGTCCGAGGCTGGGGCGGTGATTCAAGCCATATGATATTCTCGCCGTCTGAGCGACTCACGCGTACCGAAAGTATCCCAGACATTCATATACCGTAAAGCAGGCGTTATTGACGCCATTGTGAGCGCACAAAATGCAGACGAGCCCAAGTTGTGAGCAGACGCTCGACCTGCTGTCTGTGCTATCACTAGCAAAACTAGCTTTTGAAAATACAGTATGCGGCCAACGGATGCGAATCACTCGCCACGAAACTCTATGCTAACGTTAGTAGCATCGAACTGGCGTCAACTCAGACATTGCACCATATCATAACGGCGCTTGCGCACGCTCAAACCGCAGGCGTCAACAGCGGCGACCACCCTGTCAAAGCGGGCGCCGTCGACTGGAACGGCCAGTCTGTTCTTTAGCTCGTACTCTCTGCACGTCCTCGAACAAAGGGACGTCGTGACCAAGCCCGTCCGCTTCCTCACGGGCATGGACATTAAAGAAACCGAAACGCGTGCATATTTTGAAAGAAATATCCAACAAAATCAAATTATTGTGAATATCGAAATGTCATCGTCACAAGTCCTCTTTACAAATCGCCGACACCCCAGTTCTTGGCCGAGAACGCAAGTCGCTTGGCCGGACCCGGCTTGTACGCGGTTGCAATACCCTTCATCATGGGCGGCACGGCGCTCTCGCTGTGCCCGACGAACGCGCCGCTGTTGACAAACGCATCGACCACGCAGTCGCGGCCCAGCGCCGCCTTGCAGCTGCCCTTGTTGGCGTTGTTGGTCGACATGACCGAACCCTTCTTCTGGGGCAAGTTGGGTTGCTTGGTCGACACCCAAAAGTTGCCTTCCGAAAGCACGTAGGCGTCGTCGACCTCGAACGAGCGACCCGTATTGTTGTACCAGTAGTTGTTGGCCATGTGCACTTGCAGCTTGTACTTACCGTTGGACGAGCTAAACTTGGGCGCACGTGCGGATGTGTGATGGAAGACGTTGTTGAGGAAGCTCATCTTGAGGTTGCTCACAAAGATGTTGGTCCAGTGGTGGCGCCCGTCGCACGACGCCGACCACGACGTTTGCCCGTCAAAGTCGCAGTTGCTGACGGTGATGCTGTTGGAGCCAGCGCCGTCGATCGTGAGCATCTGCCGGCCGACAAGCGACACCTTGACGTGGTCGATCCACACCTTCTGGAGAGGTTGGTTGCCGTCCTTGCCGTTGAGGTAGATG